AGTAATTATCAGAGGTGAAAATGGGGCACTGTTTACACCCTCAAAAAGAGGTACTCTCCGGGGATGAAAAAAGTCAGTCATGAGAATAGGAAATGGACATTTGTCGACGGAAAAGGGGCCCCGTCAGATTTTGATAGGGACATTTATAAGATATTGTTATATATTGTTCAAAAGGAAATTATCAGAGGTGAAAAGAGGCACTTATGCACCTGAAAAGGGGCACTTATGTGAATGAAAAGGGGGCACTTGTAATAATATGTGCATTAGTTGAAAGAAAATGGGCACCGATCAGATTTTAAAGGGGCATTTATCGGAGGTGAAGGGGGCACTTATCTGAAGTGAAAAGGAGTAACTTCTCGTACCTGAAAAGGGTCATTTACCAGAGAAGGGGCACTTATGAGAAGGGGAAGGGGCTCTTTTTCAATGGGGCACTAATCATTAGGAAAAGGGGTGCTTATTAGAAAGGGAAAAGGGCACATGTGCAAATATTAGGTGCGCTTATCCGAGTTAAAATGGAGGTAGTTATTAAAAGGGGAAGGGGCACTAGTCAAATTAAAAGAGGCACGTATACCTCTCAAGATTTAAATAGGACAATTATCAGAGGTGAAGGGGGCACTTATCAAAAGTGAAAAGAGGCACTTCTCGTACTTAACTAGGGGCACCTCCAAGAAATTAAAAATGGCACTCGAACACTTATTGCTAAGGAAAATCGGAACCTGTCGAAGGAAAAGGGGCACGTGTCCAAATAAAAGGGGCACTAGTATTATACAAAAGGGGAAGGGGCACTTTTACAAATGAATAGGGGCACTTGTCAAAGTAAAAGAGGCATTCTTAGTTACATATATTCTTTTGGTAGGCTTGTGCACGTAATGTTGGAGAGAAAATGCTGTATGATACATGTAGTTCTACGAAATGGCGCATATATCGCACCTTTATACGTGTATTTAGATCTACAGTAGACTAGATCAAAAAGAAAATCTGAAGTACCGCGCGCGCACGCAGCTAGCCTAGTTGAGGACATCTCGCCCAAGTTATCTCTCCTTTGACTAGGATGCGATGCAGGTCCACGCCCACACGATCGATGCGGGGATAGCTGGAAACAGCTAGCTAGCCTTAAGCTCGACGATATAGCGCCCTCGAGAGAACTTAAAGTTTAAGCATCCACTAGTTGCACGATATGCATCCCGCTAGCTCCGACAAACTCTCGACTAAATAGACTAGACTACATGATATGATAATGTGTGAGATCGGGTAGGAGCGAGCTGGGCCTTGGACTGGCCGGAGGCTTGGGTAAGTTAGGACGCACCACTTTGTACATTTTGAGTAAAAGTAGTAGATCTACTGGGATAGCCTACCATAGTTACTCAAAACTACCAGGCCTTAAATTAATCCAAGGCCACCAAGGCCATGGCCTTGGATGCCCCTTTGATTGGCCTCAATGCCCCTCTCATTGGCCTTGGAGATTTTTTGTGCCCTTTCCAATTCTTCCCATTAGTGCTGTAATATAGGAATGTGCCCTACAGAAAAGTGGCCTTGCCCTAAAAATGTTGAAATTTAAGGCCTGAACTACCATACCAAAAAAATGGAGTGGGCGTGTCTAGACTTTTCTAGATGTAGATTTTGGCCTAGGTCTATAACTATAAGATTTTGGGGAATAACCTTGAACTTGAACTAGGGTCTAGATCTAACCAAACCTTGCTCAAGTTATTGCACCGTTTTGTAAAGTTAAATCAGGGAGTTGTGAGTTTGAACTCTCCAATTCCAACTCTCCAATTCAGTCACACATAGCTGCATTACTTTCCTGGCTGTGTACTAGCTAGCTAGTGTATTAAAATTTTAAAAGCTGTGGCCTGTGGGGTAGAGTGCCCAGTATTCGGTCACTTACATGTAAGGGGGAATCGCTATTTTGAATTCTTACCTCTTTTATTTGGCAATCTACCCATCAAAAGAAAAGAAATTTATTCCTCTAACTCTAACAGGATTTTATAGTCACTTCAAATATAGAATAATGATAGAACCCTAAGCAAAATACTTCCGAAAGAAGACAGAGCATTTTTCTGCCCAGAATTCGGTCGCGCCGAATAGAATTCGGTCACGCCGAATAGAATTCGGTCACGCTGAATAGAATTCGGTCACGCGATTTGTGCTATTTTTTTATTCTCAACATTTCAAACACCACTGTAAAAACTCAACTGATTTCACAAAAAATTGGTACTTTAGAATCTAGTGACAATTGATGACACCTAAATAGCAGTAAAATACAACTTAACGATGTTCGTTAGAAAGAATAATTTAAAAATTCTACTGTCAAACTTGCCGATCAGCCCCATCGTCTTTATTGCGTGCATTTGTGTGTATGGACTATTCATGATCGTGAGTGCAATGCTATGCAGTGCTAGAGGTCAATACGCATTAGCATTGACTCTCTATGCTTTGCTGGAGTGCAATTCAGTATCTTTCGTGGAGTGGAGTGGAGTGGGGCGTGGGCTTCTTTCAGTTACCCTAATCTCAGGCCTAGGCTAGGCTACGGCTAAGTTCCTATCTACATGTAAGACCCTATGATCGATCCCTGTCTTATAAAAATCTGGCTTTACACTCTACTTCATGTGAAATCATTTCAGATTATATGCGATCTACTACTACTTTCTACTAGGTCTAGACTAGAGGTCTAATGTTCAGTTTGTGAGCCACTCTTTACTCTGATGCTGTCATTATTGGCTCTGCCTCAGCTCTGGTTGGAGCCAGTGGCGTAATGAGCAAAAAATGTTTGGGGGAGGGGGTGCAGAGAAAAATCTGCATCACCACCACTCTGCCATACATGCAGTCCCCGCGGAACTTTTTTTAAAGTGGGGGGGGGGGGGGGGGGGGGGGGGGGGGGCTAAAGGAAGCAGAGCCCTATGAAGCTCAGGGTTTTTAGGCATTTAATTACGATCAGATGAGCATCCATGGCCCCGCCTTAGGACCCTTGGTGGGGTCCAGGGGGCGGGGCAACCGAAAGCTCATGGGTTTTTGGCATTCAATTAAGGTCGGATGAGCATATTTTGATACCTTATTTGTGACACTGGCAGGTCACTAATTGGAGTGGGGTACAGGGACGGAGCCCCCAGAAGCTCAGGGTTTTTAGGCATTTAATTACGATCAGATGAGCCTTCATGGGGCTTGCCTTAGGGCCCTTGGTGGGGTCCAGGGGTCAGAGCCCCCGGAAGTTTGGTAAAATCATGCCATTTGGGCAACATTTTGTAAATCACTGGTATCAAATTAGAAATAAACCATGTTGGAATTTAATTGGGGGATGCAACTGCCCCCCCCCAAGCCCTAATCTAAACAACCAAACCATGAATGTATTAACTTAAGACTAAGTTAGATCTAACAATAAATATAGACCCTAATTTAGCTATTTTTAGGTTTTTATATCTACACATGACATGTCAGTCATGCATAGCTCTAGCTCTAGTCTAGTTCTCCTTTTGTTGGAATAAAGTCTAAAACGGCTTTTTCTAGGCCCTGTATGACAAATTTCAATCATGGATTGAAATCTAAGAAAGTAAATATAACATGTAGCACTATTCATCAATATGTTATCATTCATTCAATGTAAAGTGTGTGTAATTATAACAGAACAGAAATATAATCTTGTAAATTTGTTATGTAACAATGAATCTAATCCCAACCTTATTCAACTTCCCTTTTCATTATAATGTCCTAAGTGTGGAAGAATTAGCTATTAACTTGCCCTCCAGCCACGATCAATCGTGTGAAAGCCTGCCGATATTTCCCATAGGGAGGACGGAACAAGAAATCCATAATTGACACAATAGAGTTACATCTTGTTGAGGTGTAGGGTCAGAAGTACAATGGGAGTGGTCAATATTAGTGTTTAAGTCTTCCCAGGTTCTCACGGAGGGAGTAGGATGAGCACGGTCCTAGGAATCGAGGGAGGGAGATCTGTTGGTCAAACCCCTTTGAATACAGATGGAAAGATTTTACAATGTTAATTGATTCAGGATAGTTTTTGTTGCTCTTATTTTTCATCATGTAAAAGGTAAGTGCAATCTGCTTTAAAACTGAGAATCATGAGAGAGAGAGAGAGAGAGAACGAGAGAGAGAGAGAGAGAGAGAGAGAAAGAAAGAGAGAGAGAGAGAGAGAACGAGAGAGAGAGAGAGAGAGAAAGAAAGAGAGAGAGAGAGAACAAGAGAGAGAGAGAGAGAGAGAGAGAGAAAGAAAGAGAGGGGAGAATTGTCTGCTGAGTACTGATAGATAAGTGCATGAATTTCAGCTCTGGTACTTTGTAAGACTTTTCATATTTTCATAATTATTAGTATAATCTAATTATTATAAATCCAGAGTTCACATTTTAGGCACTTTGATGGAGTTAATTTGATAAACCTGTTCACAAAATATTCAAATCTATTGAATTTTTTCAAAGAACCTTTATTAATTTACAAATTTGAGTTTCACATAGATGTAGTGATCAACACCTTGAAAAAATTCATAACTGACTTATCATTTGTCCAATGTCCAAGAACTTTTCACAAACCTATTTCTCTGATGATTTTTTTTTTTCTTCTTTCACACAACTCAACTTCTTGCAAAGATTTGATTGCCCTTAGCTGTTTTATGTAAGTTTCTTACTTAACCTGCGTTTAGCAATATATAATTACTGTCACATGTGAACTTTGGTGGCCATGATCTGTTTCCAATTGAGAAAGTAGGTGAAGCTTTAGTTATCTTCACATGCTCTTTGTAAAAAAAATTAAATTCCCATAGTCATTGTCAAACTTGAGGGTACCACTCAATATCACACTACAGCAGCAGTTATCAAGGTACATTAATCCCAGGAATTAGGTTACACTTCTTATACAAGCAATCATGTGATATAAAGCATTAGCGCACAGATCAGTTTTGGGAAATGAGATCATCGTTTTTCATTGCCTTGTATGTAAATGAGAGGAAGTTGAATGCCGCTTGATAGGAATATACATGCCTGCACTTTGTATGTATCTACCTTATTTCATGATGTTCACTTGTTCCGTTAGACTTCCCTTCTTTCACTGTTGTGTTTCTATAAATAGTTGAGACTTGAGAGCAAATTGTAGTCCATCCTTTGGCTAAACCTACCCAATATTATATCATTGTGGATTTATATAGTGTTGGATAATTACAGTCACTCTGCATGGTATTACCATAGACATTTTGAGGTAAAGTATTCTATCTACAAAGAGGTTTTGACTCCCTGCAGAAGTTGTTTTATTACTGTCTTGTCTTTCTCCTGATTGTAACCAGAAACCCATCCCTTGATCCGCCAACGGACGACTAATTTCAGGACTGCTTCTTTTACTTTCAACCTGAAAACACTGCTGACTCATACCTGTCTGATTACTTCGGGTCTTTGTACAATAGTCAACTTGAAGACATCGATCAGCTACTCTGCCAAAGGTAAGCTTGCTTAAAGATACAATGTCCCTCTTACAGCCAACATCAAATTCTGTAGAACTTGGCAGGAATTATGAATATGTCATGTATGTCCTATCTGTGAAATTTAAAGGTTAGCAGTGACCTAATATTCACATTATGCAAGGAAACCCGTTTACTTGCTAGACTTCATGTCAGACACTATTGAGTGACTGACTGGCTTTTTCATCTTTGGTAATAACATACATAAAATGAGCTGTAAAGGGTACATGAGCATTTGTCTACATAAATAACCCACTTCTTGAAATGGCCAAAATTAAACTGATTGAATCTTTGCGCAGGATAAAACGTACGACCATTCGGTACAATGGTCTGAAAAATCAGACTTTTACTTACTGGCTCTATAGCTCCTAAGTCGTTTAGATAACTAATAGTCGTTATTTTCCCACTTAAAGTAGATATTCATTGATGTTAAAAACTAACTTTATTCTCATTATTGCGAAGTTGAAACTTTGATTCGACAAGGTTATCAAAATTCAATGCTTGGAAACATTCGAAGTAATGCTTATAAATTACAAAATGCTTAAATACAGCCCCGGCATAGCACCTGAAGAGCTCTCCGAACGCTGCTGAGATGTGTGAGATCACAGTATGGACATGACTTGCACAAGCAGACGATGCCCCATGACATCTCACACATTTTCAGTGCCTAGCTGTGTTTCATCTTCTCTTGAGTTCTATCTCTTACTTCACTACCGTCAGGCTAAATGTATAATCTATTGCCTCACTCTAAACCCCGCGCATGTTTTTATTTTGATGACAAATGCAGTGATACTAAAATAAAGGAATCTGTCGCTTGTAAACAAAATAAGACGCCATTGTATATTCAACTGCACACACCAGGGTATGTTCGGCGTTTCAAGAGGGAACAAATGCCGTCCTTAATATCATTCCGGGGGGTTTTCAATTTGAAAGTCTGGTTTCTTTGATTGTTAATTAACCTCTATCCTGTGTATTTACAAGCAACAGATTTTAGTTACCAGAATAGGGTCATATCCCCTTTTGAATGGTTTGACATGCCATTACATTGATATACACTAGACTCATTATAATTTGAGAAATAATAGCTTTGCAATTATGTTCATTTTCTATGGGATGTCGTCTGCTTGGGCAGTGTTGGTCCATATAGTGACGTCATTAAAACATCGTTATTTTTTCTGGCGAATCTCTTGTATATCCCAGCTGCTATGGAGGTGGCTGTATTTGTATTTTTATAAATCACCCGATATGAAGTTGACCTATAAGTTGTACGATGGCCATCTGTTAGCTTCCCAGTTTGTAGTGATACATTAGTTGACATATTTGTGATTTTCTTTGAATTTCACCTTTAAAGACATTTTCTAGCCCCCCCCCCCTTTTTTTAGGGATGTTCTAAATTAGTATTGTCTTTCAAATGCCGTTGGAATTTAACCTTTTAATTTTTTTGGCCTGCAAATGGGACATACATGTAGTACCTTTAATACATTTACAGTGTTGAATTCAAGTTTTGAAGAAAGGTAATGTATCATTCAATCTTGCATGCTATCATATGTTCCAAAATCGTACTGTCCAATTTTGCCAGATGATACATAAATAAAATCCATTAGCCAATAAGGGACACACTCTGAAAACTTGATGGGCATGAAGCTTGTGGGGACTACACATAGCAACCTGTCCGTTTTCCCCCTTTCTTTCAAATAAATTTCCAGCAAGATAATGTCTTTCTTTTAAAATGGGCATATTTGCAAAGAAAAGCAATTAACTGCAAAGCCAAAATTGCCAATTTGAGATTTGCATATTTTTGTGATTTATGAACAGTAATTTATTATACATCTTACTGACGAGTGTTTTATCCTAAATCGTTTGGTATCATTTGTGTGTGGTATGTGCTCACGCTTGGATGAACATGAGACTTTGTTTAAGAGAGTGCAACAATCGACTTGCGCCAAATCCATGTGATGTTTGAATAAAACAATTGGGATTTGGGTATTAATTCGGTCTTTGCAGATCCAAATAACATTCCTAACAAAATTAATCATGCCACACATATCAAATATCAAAGAACATTTGTGCGCGCGTGTGTGCGTGTGTGTGTGTGTGTGACTTTGTTTCTGCAAAAAGCAAATGCAATGCGTCTCATTTGATACATTCAACTCTTTCTCTCATTTTGGTAATTTTGCACGAGTCGATTTTTGCACTCTCGCAAAAGATGCCTCCTGTTCATCCAGGCGTGAACACATACCACACAAAAATGATACCAAACGATTCGGGATATACATGTAACACTCTTTCACAACATGTATGATAACCTTTCGTTCATAGCTGACTTTTAAAATAAATGACAATTTTCTGAGTGTAAACTTTTTTTTGGACTTACACGGTTCATTTAGTTACCAATATTGGGATATAACACTCTTTTACACCATGTACGATAACCTTTCGCTCATAGCTGACTTTTAAAATAAATGACAATTTTCTGAGTGTAACCATTTTTTGACACACACGGTAGTTACCAATATCGTCTATCAGATCAGTGTTTGAATTGTATTTTCTGAATTTAAAACCAAAAACAGAATGTTTAATTCTACTGGTATTAAACATACTGGTATTAAACATACATGATGTTATGTTCACATGGCTTGGGAACCTTCCAACATGTTGCCTTGTTTAGGGTGCTAGTTACAGACTGTCTGTCTTCAGACTGTAAATTATAGGGTAACTTTTAAAGGGATGCCGGATGAGAAAGTAAGAAGGGTGCAGTGTAAAATTTTGCTCTCCAGCTCGATAAATTTGATACGAGTAATAATAGATGACATAAAGCAGGAAAAAAGTTTGCATTAAGAGGCGACATTTTGAACATTAGGTATTACTTGCAATGGCCTATCCAGCACATTACAAAGTAGGGGTGCTTCTGTGTGGTGTGTCCAATTCATCTGGCATAAAAATCTGTCCCGATTTTTATGAAGTTACATGCCATATTTAGAATATTAAGGCATTTGAAGAGCCATGCTTTTCAGGGAACATTTTTTATCTGATGTTCTTCCACACTTGCATAATTAATACAATGATAGCAGTCACAAATCATTTTTCACCTCTTCCCAGAACTTAACCTTCTCTTTAAGGGCTCTGCAATCATACGTTTCTCTATTATTTATTATTTACTCTGTGTGAAATTTGCCAGAAGAAGGTGTTCATGCCTAGCTCTCGAATCGATTATGATTAATTTTATGATTTTCCCAAGGTGAACAGAAACATCTGGTCTTTTGCTTTTTTTGTCCATGGTACAGCTGTGATCAGTCAATAATACACTCAGCATTCTCCTCACTTATTGCTTGTTTTCTGCATTGTAGCAGCAAACAGATTTTAGTTTGGCATTTCGGCGGAGCTCTTTGATCCTCAAGTGAATCATATTTGAAGCTGTTGATTAATACTTTGTCTTAGTACGAGCAAGGAGTTACTTGGTACAAGTGTGTGGTTTGTACAATGTATTTGTTGCTCATGCCTTGACATAGAGATATTTCAGTGAGTCGACGAAGACATCTTGATCTTGCAATGAAGTTTTGTTCGTTTGTTGTTGAAAATATCCTCAAATGTGGAAGTGAGTATTTTGAATGCTCTCTTTCTCTCTCCCCCCCCCCCCTCTCTGCGTCCCTCACTCTGTCCCTCCCTCCTTGTCTCCCTCCCTCCTCTCTCTCCCTCCCTCACTCCCTCCTGTCTCTCCCTCCCTCCCTCCCTCCCTCCTCTCTCCCTCCCTCCTCTCTCCCTCCTCTCTCCTTCTCTCTTCCTCCTTCTCTCTCCCTCCTTCTCTCTCCCCCTCTCTCTCTCTCCCTCTTCCTCTCTCTCTCACATTCTTGGTAGCCTTCTAGCCTTTCCTTTCTTTCCTTCCCCTGTTTTCTCATCTGTCTCTGCCTTTGTTTAGAAACAGGGAACACAGTTTTATTCTTCTATAGTTTACTAATTAATACTTGTACATGCATGCACATTGAATGTTTTCTTAAATTCTTTTCATGTTGGAATGTCTTCCTTCTTTTCTTTTGTTGTCTTAACTTGATCTAAACCAATTGCCTACAGGAACTGGGTGGGACCTTTACAAAATCTGATAGTGAATCGGTTAAGTTGTTATTAGCCTTGATCATCTAATGGAACAAACAGGGAACCGCCGCACTCGATTTGTCACACTTATAACTTGAATTTAGAATATATTACATAACAGACAAATGTTATATTTCTGCCTCGTAAACTTTAAAAAGCATGGTGTCTACAGTTTATGAATGTATTTGTTGATTTCACAGATTTCTGTATCCTGCTTTATAGCTAAGGGAACTTAAAGGAATCAATCAGCATCATGAACAATAATGAGGTTGAGAAGGGGACCTTACCAGTCGAGGCATTGCATCTTGAGCACATGCCCTTTAATTCCAAGTATTCTGGACCGAATTACACAGCATGTGAAGGAGAGAGACAGGAGGATGGAGAAGGAGTAAGGGATCATGGTAGAAAGAACACTACAATGAATGAAAGTAAGTTCAAACAAGTAGCTACGAGATAGCTCTGAGTAATCAGCCATCGTGTCATTGATGAAGCACCCACCCCCCAAGAAGAAAAAAAACAACACACAAACAAACAAACAAATCATTGTTTTAGGTATTCCACAAAAATAAAGTTGTTTTCTTATTTTGCAAAAAAAATTATAAGCAACTTAGATCATACATTTACCATATATGTATTTAATCGTATATTCTGGCGGATGTTGATCTAATGTTGATACTAGATAGGGCAAAATCTTTCTAGTTAGCTTTTTTAAAATGTTTTTTTATTAGTTATTAGAATTTAGTTTTTCTTTAAATATATGCCAAAACACTGAATTTCTGATGGTATATTTTGGAAATACTTTGCCATGCATAATGCTTGTCCCTTTGTGAATAATTCTAAATTACAGGTGTATTGGGAGATTAATGAGGGTACATATGCTGTGTGTACTCGACAATCATTGTGATTCATTGTTTATTTTTCGGCATACCAACCAACAGCCCAGAGTTCATATCGCACATCTGGTTGAAATCATGTGAATACTTAGATTGAGTAAATACACAAAGCCTGTAAGCAATCAAGGACTTGCGTCAATACAAGAGACTCTGTCAGAACAGAATTATTGATTAATGAACAGAACCCCTTTGCTCTCAATTGAAAATGCACAACAACAAAACTCTTTGCCTCTTTGCAAGGGTTCATTATACTCCTATCACTCATTTGGAAATATGTTTTTGATATTTAGTACATATTGTAATGTCTATTTCAGTAAATTATAGTGTTAGGTGTTAGTGCTGTTAAATGATGTTTGTTAAACTGATGAAAGTCAATTTTCTTTTTCAGACAGATGAGTAAATCAATTATAATTCAAAATGTTGTTATCAGAGAGTCGGAATACCATTACTTTTGTGACAGGAATATCCCTCTCTCTCTCTCTCTGTTTCTCTCTCTCTGTCTATCTCTGTCTCTATGTCTCTCCCCTCTCTCTCTATCTATCTCTACCTCTCTCTACCTCTGCATGTGTGTGTGTGTTTGTGTGTATGCCTCTCTCTCTCTCTCTCTCTCTCTCTCTCTCTCTTGTTCTCTCTCTCTTGCGCAACAACACTTGACTCACATTTTTTTCCTGTAATTCTTTTTCTCTCCCAATGATGTAATTGTTCAGATCTCCTGGAGCAGCAAAGAGAACCCTTGTCCATGGAACAGACCTCTAGATGGCGCCATGCAGCTTTGGCCATTTCTTGGGCGTCCGTCATCGTTCTTCTCATAATCGGTATTCTAAGCTTCGGTAAGTTCCAACATTCGACAACCTGCCGTCATCCAGACTTAAATTTAAAGGCCCACTGCACTACTTGTAGCTACTTGCGCCCTCTATATAACAAACAATGCCTAATTGGTGACCATTGGTCCCCCATGATCCCTTTTTTCTTATGTTATTTTAGAGCTGAGTTGATGAGATAACCACCTGTCCAGTGATCTTGCAGGGTAGTCTAATCCCTCCTTTACACTAGTACTCATGGGCTTTAAGACACATTTTTTCATGACATATTCGACAGGGTCTGCACTATCCAGACTGAACACTAGCATCAATACATGAATGCTGATAAAGACAATGTACTTTACTTGTTCCCCTTGTGAAAGCTGATTTAGGCTAGATTCAAGACACAATGTATTTTGTTACGTATCAAATGAGAATGTGAGCATCATGTAATGCTATTAACCAACTTTCTATTGATTTTAGACAATGCATTGTGATAGTAGTAATAATATTTTGTAATATCACTTTACTTTTCTATTCGTTTTATCAATAGTTGTATCAGATACAACCAACAGCTCAGCAGCATTTGGATTCGGTGTAAGTATATGAGCTAAGCAAGTAATATACATCCACATGCTTTTTGTTTGTAGTAGTGGTTAATTAACAAAAGGAAATCCATCAAATATTTTGAACTGGTATAGAGCTCTATATGGTATCTTCTGAATGAAAGTAACAAATAGTTTTTATGTTATTATAAAAACAAGTGATAATGTTGGTGATATCAATGATGATGAGGATGAGAATGGTCATGATGGTGGTGATGATGATAGTGGTGCTGATGATGATGATGATGATGATGGAAATTATGATTAGGAGGATGGTGATGTTGGTGGTGATGATGATGGTGATTATGATGCTGGTGATGATGATGGTGATGATGATGGTGATGATGGTGATGGTGATGATGATGATGATGGTGATGATGATGATGATTATGTTGATGATGATGATGATGATGATGATGATGATGATAGTGATGCTGGTGGTGATGATGATGATGATGATGATAGTGATGCTGGTGATGATGATGGTGATGATGGTGATGGTGATGATGATGATGATGGTGATGATGATGATGATGATTATGATGATGATGATGATGATGATGATGATGATGATGATGATGATGATGATGGTGATGATGATGATGATGATTATGTTGATGATGGTGATGATGATGGTGATGATGGTGATGGTGATGATGATGATGATGATGGTGATGATGATGATGATGATGATGATGATGATGATGATTATGTTGATGATGATGATGATGATGATGATGATAGTAATGCTGGTGGTGATGATGATGATGATGATGATGATGATGATGATAGTGATGCTGATGGTGATGATGATGATGATGATGATGATGATAGTGATGCTGGTGGTGATGATGATGATGATGATGATGATAGTGATGCTGGTGGTGATGATGATGATGATGATGATGATAGTGATGCTGGTGGTGATGATGATGATGATGATGATGATAGTAATGGTGGTGGTGATGATGATGATGATGATGATGATGATAGTGATGCTGGTGGTGATGATGATGATAGTGATAGTGATGCTGGTGGTGATGATGATGATGATGATGGTGATGATGATGACAAAAATGATGATTAAGAAGTTAATAATAGTGATGCAAATAACAATGCTACTTCTACTACTGCTGCAGAAAAGAAGAAGATGATGTTGATAATGATAATAATTTTTCATATATCTCTTATATAACTTGTATAAATACTCTTTTCACAGTTTGACTGTTTGCTGGATGTAGGAACCTCAGTAGTAGTTATATGGAGATTCATGGGTTCGCTCAGCTCAGTTCGTTCAGAAAAGAAAGAAAGAATGTAGGTACCTCTACAAACTCAACAAGCTTCTTGTTTTGTTTGTTTGTTTTTTGTTTTTTCATTAGTTTGGTTATTTTCTTCTTGTAAAAGTTCATGATGAGTTCTTCTTATGATTTTGTATTTCAGAATTTGCTTAAGTCTGTTTAAAAATGTTTATCATGAAATAGGAAGGTAGATGATGACCTTACTCATTATATACAAAATATTGTGTGTGCTTGCTTTGCTTGCTTGCAAAATATAGAAACTAGAATGTTGATATTCTAGCTGGCGAAAGTCGTTGCAGTGACAGCCCTTTATCCCAACAAAGTTGCACCCTTAATAAATGGTTATATTATCATAAAGATACAACCAGGGGGGTGCTTCACAAAACTTGTCATCAGTGACAAATGACATTTGATGTTATAAGCTACTGAAATCCTTGCTTCTGATTGGTTATCTGCAGATTTGTCACTGATATTTGTCATTTGTCATCAAAAAAGGTTTGTGAAACGCTCCCTGTTCTTCATTCCCAAGGTACAAATTGAAGCTCACATCTACCACGGATATCTCATGTGGATGTTCTGCAATTTTACAGAAAGCTTCTGAAAATAGCTTGATAGCTTTCTGCTTAGTTGTTTGAACTAAGATAAGAATAGACCAGTAGATATTGGAGAAATAAGATACCCAAACCCTAAATTTCAATTTGTTTTCATGTGTGGTTTATGTAATGTTATGTTATGTTACTAAAAGTAGAGTTATATATTTCTCCATGATATGTGAATATCAAATATAAAAGACTTTGTGGTAATGTGTTTGATGATTTATTTACAGCAACATGAAAACGTTTTGCTATACCAGTATGAATTAGAAATTAGAAAGCAACCATTAACTTGAATACCATCACTATGAAACTTGTACTCTCTTGTCAAAGTGACCTCAACAACGGTCTGTGTACCCTTTCTTTATTTAAACTTGTAATCTTACTGGTATTGTCCTTCCCATTTGTATTCATGTAATGACCGGTCACCCCTACCAGCATAATTTGGTGTGAAGTAACAATGCAATGAAAGTCATAGGATGGGAAGGACATGCAAGCTGAGAGGAAGAATAGGCTTTTAGATTCCTTGAAAGATGTACTTGTTTTGTTTTGAGAATTAAGATCTTATGAAATGGTATCTACTTTATTACCTGATGGCCTTGCCAAGGATTAGAGTAGGGCATGTTGTCTATAAAGAGGTGTTGGAGTATTAATTACGATAAAATGCCATATCTACCCTTTGTTTCATGTTTTTGTTTGATAATATATTCGAGGCTGACCTCTCAATAATACATGATTGGTTGTTCATCATTGGCTATTTTCAAGTATTAATTACGATAAAATGTCATATCTACCATTGTTTCATGTTTTTGTTTGATAATATATTCGAGGCTGACCTCTCAATAAAACATGATTGGTTGTTCATCATTGGCTATTTTCAAGTATTAATTACGATAAAATGTCATATCTACCATTGTTTCATGTTTTTGTTTGATAATATATTCGAGGCTGACCTCTCAATAAAACATGATTGGTTGTTCATCATTGGCTATTTTCAAGTATTAATTACGATAAAATGTCATATCTACCATTGTTTCATGTTTTTGTTTGATAATATATTCGAGGCTGACCTCTCAATAAAACACGATTGGTTGTTCATCATTGGCTATTTTCAAGGTAACTTTTTGAAAGAAGTGTTATAGTACTTTACTTTCTGAAGGATAAGTCTATCCTGGAATCTAATTTTTCTTTGTTTAAAGGGGGGGGGGGATGGAGAAACATATTGGTGAAGGTTTGATGAAAATTTGACAACTGTCAACACAAATTATGGCTTACAATTGTGAATGACGCCAACTCTGTGATTCCCTTGTAAGCAGCTACCCATTTGTTTTTTACTGACCAATTTTATTCATTCTATAATTATTCTCGAAAGAACAATTGCAGTAGGTATATATAGAAATGGACACATGATGTTCACCTCACTTGCTTTATGATGGGGGGGGGGGGGGGGGGGGGGGGAGGGTGCATAGTAAATTTACACATTTTCATTCAATTACTTCTTCGAAATACATGTACATACCTGTAAGTTTCTCATCCTATATGGGACTTTACATAAACTTAAACTTTCTGCTCTCATTAAAGTAGACATTCATTAATGCCATATATTGATATAATTTGTATTATTGCATAAGGGAAAGTTAGATTGAACAAGGATTACAAACTTCCCCACTTAAAAACATTCAAAGTAACAATTATTGATTTTAATTGCCATCTGTAAGCTTTCTGGTTCCTAGCGATACATTTTCGGCCATATTTGTGATTTTCTTGGAATGTCTACTTTAAAACCAACTTCATATCAAGATGATCTTCTTCATTAATTTGACATCTGTTTTAGAGAAAGAAACGTATTTATTATTTTGCATGCAGATCTCTCCTGTTCCTAGGGGCTCTCTTTATCATCGCAGCGGTATCTATATTTGCCAGAGCCATTCCAGATCTGATTGACGACACTGAGACTGTCAGTGTGAGTATTGATCTATTCATATTTATTCTATATCACACCAGCTGTTCAAGTTCTGAGCTATATTCTTGATTGATATTTCCAATTTCGATAATATTTATGTATTTTCTTCTGTCATTTCTTGTTCATTGGAAGTAGTAAAAAAAAAAAAAAATAAAGAAAAAAAATGATAATAGTTAAGCTACATATTTTAATGTAAACTTTTCAACAGGATACCCATAATATATATTGTTGGCAACAAGTATCAAACATCTATACTCTTTCATAATTCAAGAATTTAGATATTTTTTTAACTCGTCCATGAAAAGTTAATGGATAGGTGCTTCCAAAAAGAACCATAGAGTCAGAAATTTGTTTCGGGATATTTGAAACTTTTAAGCTTTTAAAAAAAATTTTCATTAGGTTTTTCTCAAACTTTCTCTTTACCTTTTCTATGATTTTCTGCATGTGCTTAATATGACTTCAAACTTTAAGGAGGCATAGGAGCTTTTTAAAGTAGCAATGCAATTTTATGTTAGGTTTTCAAAGAACATCATGATACTAAAATTAATTTGTTACATTTCAAAGTGGATCGTTTCATTCTTTGCCTACAGGGTATGTGGCTTCTGATTCTGGCAATAGTGAGTTTTTTTGTATGTTCAACGTTAGCCATTTTCAAGTTCATCATTGCCAAGAAATTAGACAGCACAAGTGTTCAGTCTGATGGTAAGTTACAACCAAAATGTTTGTAAAATTGTAGTTTCGTTTTTTAAATTTTTTATGTGAAAGTCTGATGGCTATCATTTCATTTTATTCAAAAGAATTTGAATACATAAATTATTACTGGTTGGTCCCTTAAAAGTAATGCAAAGTTTTGGGAAATTTTGAAAATTAGATGGATAGTAATTCTTAAAATGTTGATATATTTGGATGTCCCTGTAGATATATTATGAACACTAGAAAATTTAGCCCCTAAAACACTTCTGCTTTCAAGAAATCTGAATAATCAAAACTTACCAGTGCTCCCAGTAAATTTTAAATATTTGAAATGCTCCTAAGGCCATTCCATGGTAGCTGCGACCATGAAATTCTCAGAATATGCAGTTCTGATATATAATTTCCAGACGGGAATAGCAAATTGGTCGATTGTAGTCAAGAAACCTTGTTTAAAGCTAAAGTAATATCAGTCTTATAGTCTTCAGTCTATATGCTTCCAATATGTTCATTTGAACCAAAATTCATGACCCCATACCAAAACTTTGTATTACCTTTAAATTGAAACTGAAGATGAAACAGTTGCCTTTGTACCTCCTAATATCTACTTGAGTTTTTTACATTTCATGGGATATACAATGAAGATATATTTACACAACTAGAAGTAAAAAACAAGCACATGCTAGAAGTTATTACCGGTATTCAGAATCCTTATGGCAACTCTCCTGAATATTTCAAATAAGTGCACAATGTATGGTGTGCTGAAATGGAGTTACATATTCTGTGTGAAAATGCAAAACAGAAGTTAAAGCATTGTGAAGGTTGATACTATAGAAGACTATTTGTTTGATATCATCTCATGAATGTTTTATTGTATGCTGTTTTTGTGTGCAGACTGACTGAACATATTTTGAAATAGAAAAACATCTGGTTACCTTCATTACCTAATTTATTTTGTTCTCGTTACAAGTAATCAGTAATTTTAATTGCCAACATCATGGCATTATTCATCAAATTAATGCGTTTATCCTTTATAACTTCTGTTTCTTTTAGGTTACAGTTCCTTGGCTGGGGCGATCACAGCACTCAGTATGCTCATTAGCACCATAGTCATCCATTATGATTTGCATGTCTGGTACTTGGATGAGATTGTGGGTATCATCGTTGGACTTCTACTCGCTGTCTATGGAATCAAGTAAGTGTATAGGGCTCTTCATGTATGAACGCCAAGTACATATAGAGGTGTCACAGTCAAGGGGTTAAAACTCTTGTGAGTTGAACCCCGGCATGGCGCTACTGTCTTTTGGCGGGACAGTAATCCACATTTCCCACTCTCCACCTATCGATTAGACGGTTACTGGTAGAAAGGAATTCCTTGAATGTTAATCTGTTTTCATAGCTTTTCATTATAACCTAAGCTTTTTCATCATATTAAACAGGGAGGCTCATACTTTACTTAAGTTTATTAACATTTTATCATGTTCTCAATTTACCAGACTGCACAAAATTTCATTCAACGAGATTAAGCATACTCATTTTTATGCCTCCGCTACAAAGTAGCCGGAGGCATTATGTTTTCGGGTTGTCCGACCGTCCGTACATCCGTCCGTCCGTACGTACGTCCCGTTCTCGGGATCGTGTTATCTCAAGAACCAATTGATGGATTCCCGCCAAACTTGGGTCATGTATGTATCTTGCAGAGCCAATGAACTTATTAGATTTTGGGATCACGAGACCCAAGTTCAAAGGTCACAGGGCTCATTATGTATGCAAAAATAGCTTGTGATCGCGTTATCTCAAGAACCCATTGATGGATTCTCGCCAAACTTAGGTCATGTATGTATCTTGCACAGCCAATGAACTGATTAGATTTTGGGGTCACGAGATCAAAGGTCACAGGGCTCATTATGTATGCAAAAATAGCTTGTGATCGCGTTATCTCAAGAACTCATTGATGGATTCTCGCCAAACTTGGGTCATGTATGTATCTTGCACAGCCAATGAACTGATTAGAATTTGGGATCACGAGACCCAAGGTCAAAGGTCACAAGGCTCATTATGTATGCAAAAATAGCTTGTGATCACGTTATCTCAAGAACCCATTGATGGATTCTCGCCAAACTTAGGTCATGTATGTATCTTGCACAGCCAATGAACTGATTAGATTTTGGGGTCACGAGATCAAAGGTCACAGGGCTCATTATGTATGCAAAAATAGCTCGTGATCGCGTTATCTCAAGAACCCATTGATGGATTCCCGCCAAACTTGGGTCATGTATGTATCTTGCACAGCCAATGAACTGATTAGATTTTGGGGTCATAAGTTCAAAGGTCACAGGGCTCATTATGTATGCAAAAATAGCTTGTGATCACGTTATCTCAAGAACCCATTAATGGATTCTCGCCAAACTTAGGTCATGTATGTATCTTGCACAGCCAATGAACTGATTAGATTTTGGGGTCATAAGTTCAAAGGTCACATGGCTCATTATGTATTAAAAAATAGCTTGTGATCGCTTTATCTCAAGAACCCATTGATGAATTCCCGCCAAACTTGGGTCATGTATTTATCTTGCAGAGCCAATGAACTGATTAGATTTTGGGGTCACGAGACAAAGGTCACAGGGCTCATTATGTATGCAAAAATAGCTAGCTTCTGTTTTGGTTTGTAATTAAATTGCTCCAAGGCGGAGGCATCATTTTCGACTGCACGCGGTCGAAGGTCCATCTAGTTTTTATCAATGTGACTTCAACTTTCATTGCAGTGTACTTCTAGCGTTTACAATATTGGTATTACAATTTGGTTGTAGAGTGTGTGGAATTTTATCATTTTCACTGGCTATGCTTTATATCACTCTCTTGACAGATTATTGGTCGGAGTAACGCGGAGTTCAGACCTGAGTATTTCCATGAAATCATGTCTTCCCAGGAAGAATTGAGCGAGCCAGCTAGAATGCAAGAGCGTCCGATAAACAATCCAAGAAGTGCCTATTCCGTACAGAAACCGAGGCTTTAAAGGAATGAGAGAATTCGATCATTGTCAAGTTCAAGGACTAAAAGATAAAGTTGAGTTCTGGTCATGCGATTGCATTGTGAAAGAAACATTGTGGAATCAATCAGAAAAATTGATCATCTAGCATATAAGTATTGGTGTGTACTGCAGGATTCTGGAAACATCAAAATGATAAGAAATTTGGCCCAGTCTTGGTAAAGTTACAAATACTGTGCACGGAAAGATGTATATATGGGACTACACAAACATGTGGCAAAAAAAATTGTCCCGATTCGTATGATGTTACATGCCATATCTTTTAGAATATTAAGGCATTTGAAGAGCCATGCTTTTCAGGGAACATTTTTTATCTGATGTTCTTCCACACTTGCATAATACAATGATAATGCTCACAAACTGTTTTTCCCCTCTTCCCAGAACTCGACCTTCTCTTTAAGAAGTGATTTCTTGAAATTCAAAGCATTCCAAAGTCAACTTACTGTATCATGCCTTCTTCCAAAATTCTAAAAATGAAGGAAGAGTGTTTGTGTGCCTTGTACCACCAATGTGCAATACTACAGCATGGATGTGTGGACTCTTGATCCACTTCATGGTAGAAAGGGTCACACTCTATAGGCTCACGATCAGTCTCTCGTTTTCATGTGCATTCTGTGGGAGAGGGTAATCAGAAACATGATTTACCCTATTTAATTTTGACATATGTGCACACACATTTCTTGTAAAATACATTGACCAGTATGTATGTTATGCTTGTTGTAATATCTCTATCTTTCTGACATTGACAAAGATATATCTTGAACCAGGATATTCAGGAAAAAACACTTAATTTATTCGACACCTCTACATTCTGTTTCAAGCACTTCCATTCTGTGCAACTTCCTGCCGTAGCTGGCAGTATATACCTGCAGGATATTACACTCTTAAAGAACAGTTTCATGAAGTTAGAAAAACTTGACAATTTGTTTGTATATATTTTTATTTATTAAAATGGGCACAGTTTATGCGCAGATTTTTGTTAACCCATAGGAGCCTCCTCTTAACATGACCACCAAACAATAATAATTAATCTTTGTAAAGTGCCATATATTTATATAGTTTTAAAGTGCCATATAGTGATAAAGAGTGCATTATTTGCAAGTGCTTCCTGTAAAATCTATAACCACCAAACATAGCTATAATTCATCTTTGTAAAGTGCCATATATTTATATAGTGCTTCCTGTAAAATCTATACAAGAAGTACATGGAGTAACAATTGAATTAAAACGTTTGCTTTTATATATCAGAAATTTATTTATTGCTGCATTTGACTTTAATTAAACCTTAAAAGGTTGATCTTTGTTGTAATTTGCATTAAAACTGTAAATAGTGTCAATAGGTATAAGGACATTCCACAATTTGCTGGGCTACTATATATGTGCTTATAGTGAACCAACACCATACATATATATATATACATATATATATATATATATTTTTTTTTTTTTTTTTGGGGGGGGGGGGAGGGGTTCAATCTTTTGTCTCATTTTTGCCTTGTAAATATTATGCTATTGATTGATGAATAGTTCTTTTAGTTGAGGTACTATTACGGCTTGGGAACTGTAAATATTCCTTTTGGCAAAATAGTGTGTTTATTTTGTTATCATGTAACACACTTTTAACCAATCAATGAACAAGAATATATGAATGAAGTATATAATATATATTTGTATATTGAATTTGTGTGTGTATATTATTTTATGAAATCTTTGCCGGAAAGGGTATTTCGAATATCTAAATTCTAAATCTTTGATATAAGTTGTGAATTATAATTATTTATTTGTGATCAATAATAAAATGATTGATAAGGTGCAAAAAATATGTGTCCTTGGTATTATTTTAGGGTACCGGTAAATTGCTTTTTAGTCTACAACCAGTTCGTTTACTACCCATTTAGTCTATTCCCATGTGGTATACACCCAGCCCGTCTAATATATCCACATTGTCTAATGATAATTTTGTCTACTTATCATTTGGTCTAATGTCCATTTAGGCTAATGTCCGTATGATCTAATCTACAATAATTAGTCCACTACCCATTTGATCTATTGTTCATTTAGTATAATAACCAGTTAGTCTAATTCCCAGTTTGTCTACCATCCATAAAGTCTAGTAATCATTTGATGATTATTATTCATGATTAAATTATTATTAAATCAAATAGATAGTAGACCAAATGGTCATTAGACCAATTGATACGTAGACCACATGGAGATTAAACGAGCTGGGTGTAGACCATATGGGAATAGACAAACTGGGTAGTAGATGAACAGGTTTTAGACCGATCGCCAATTAATCTTATTTCAGTATCCAGACTCCTGGTCATCCCCATGTTCCCCTCATGCTCTCCCTTCCTCCCCCTCCCCCCCCCCCCTTTTCTCTATCTCTCATCCTTTCTCTCTCTCACCCACTGTCTGTCTGCCTCCCTCTCTCTTGATTTATCCACTAAGAATAATATGAATATATCCCTCTTCAACAAATTCACAGCCTCTTGATCTACTGATATTTAACACATGGATGATACAAACCCAACACTTGAGCTCCTTGGGTGAATAGACAGTTATCTGGTTAAATATTAGACTTGTGTATAGGTGCACATTCATGGAAGATGGTAATAAAAACGATTGTAAAGACATTCAACAAATTTTCAAGGGCAATATTTTTATTTCAATAGGTGGTGCATTGGGCTACTGAATAATCTCTTTTAAAAGTATAAGTGTTTTTTTTTAAATGTAAGTTAAGATTGTTGTAAAGGTCAAGATTGATTTTGATTTTCCAAGTGGCAGAACATTGTCAACAACAGCTAAACCAAAAATTGAAGAATTTTTTGTTTTCTTCTTCAAATTGTGACTGTTATGGAAAAAACACATACTGCACAGGAAGAGGGATGATGTCATGAAGTCATTCGTAAGATGACTATTGCAAGAAGAATGCATTATCCACAGGTTGGTATTTCCTTCTAAATCCATTATTTTCAAGCCTATTTTCATGATTAAACCTACGGTGGTCCACCACAATCAAGCCCCATGGCTGTCATAGATGTATTCACTGACAATTTATGAAGTAAACCAAATAAAGATATATAAAAATCTCCCACACATGTGTCATTTTCATGAGTCATTCAGATCGAAGCTACCGAAATCAGACAGCTTGGCCAAAGCTGTGTTGAGATCAATAGTAATATTTTGAAGAGCGCCATTTACGGCAGACAAATACTCTCACACCTCTCTGTTCTGAGCTCAGCGTCTAAGAATGCGAAACTCTGCGTAAATCTTGACTAAAAGCACTTTCTATCTTTCTGACCCGTTGCAATGTCCTGTTGATGGATGCAGTTTGAAATGTATTATGACTTCAATCACCCCAGGGTTTCGATTCACTTCGATATTGGTAAAATGGTTTCAGACATGGAAACACGAAAAGGGACTACTTTTGATCCCATGTTTCTTCTATTCTAACTCGAAACTGCAAATTAAAGCTGTCGAAGTGCCCTTTCTAGGCTTGTCTAGCCAACTATTAATACAGATATTGCGTGCTTTTAAATGTACACAACAGATCAATGAACGGATTTTACTGACAACCTCTATTTTTCTGTTCCATATCAGCTTGTCTTTATCATTTCACATTATTACCCTTTGATGAATTTTTCTTTCGTATCGAAATATGTAATGTTGGCCTTCATTGTTATTTACTCCTATATTATTTGCTATATTTTGTATTTTGAAACAAAATTTGCGTTGGCCCACTATCAGCCTTTCATAACGTCATTTTCTTTAGATTAGCTTATGAGGTAATGGATGAACATTATGTTCTTCCGGTGGGCCCTGCAATTATTTTACCACAGCAATTGCCAGGTATCCATTTACACCTGGGTGTAGAGTGTCAATCGTGGACTATTTATCTTGCCAAAACATGAGTACCGGGCTGGGATTCGAACCCTCAAACCTTGGCTTGAGACTTGAGAGTCGAGTGACTGAACCACGACACCTCCTCTACCACCTCCATATATATATATATATATAGAGAGAGAGAGAGAGAGAGAGAGAGAGAGAGAGAGAGAGAGAGAGAGAGAGAGAGAGAGCATGAAAGTGACAGGGGGAGATAGAGAGAGAGAGAGAGAGAGAGAGAGAGAGAGAGAGAGAGAGAGAGAGAGAAAGTGATTGAGAGAAAGAGAGGGTAGAGGCAGGAAGCAGAAAGACCGGTTACAAGTTATGTTCAATGTTCAAAAACGTTCTTCAAAAATAAAGATCATTGGAAAGGAAAAGCATAAAGACTCATTGAAATAGGAAGAAAGTGATCTGAGAAAAATGAGGCAAACAGAATACAGTGAGAGAATGGGGAGGAAGAACGAAAGAGCGAATTAACGAAAGAAAGAAAGAAATAAACAGCAGGAAAGACATAAGAGAACCTTAGGAACAGGAAAGAATGGCAAAGGACGAGAGAGTAATAACGATGAGTAATCGCAGCGGCTAACAATAATGACCAGGTGAATTACCTTTGCTCATTTCCGTAAATAAACATCAACTTGATGAATTGCATGAACCTGTCTGATAAGGAGTCTGATTGACACGAACGGGGAAATAGTCGGAAAATGATCCACTTCCTTATGTTTAGCTTAGCTCTATAATGTGTCACAGGTTACACGTTATCTTGTGAAGTTGGTTTTTAGATTGATTATTATTTCGGTTAGCCAATTATATCAGGTCAGCGTCTGTTCGAGAAAGCCCGTTTGTTTTGACGTAATTTATAGTTCTGGTAAGAGGGGTTAATGACAGATATAATACGAATGCTGACGGAAGGAAAAATGTAAACAAAATATAAGAGTTGTCATTTCCTAACTTATAATTTATCATTTGTCTTTTAACGGCTGTTCATTACATTTGAAATAATATTTCCAAGTTAGAGTAAATTGAAAACACACCCACCTTTTATTTTTACATCTGTTTCCTCCTTCCCGGGTTATATTAGTGCAGAAAGTTCTTCTTTTAGTAAACACAAAATATAAATGAAACCCAGCAAAGTTGACAAAATAACTTTGAGAAGGTATACATAGGTCTACACACTATATATTTTTAAAAGAAAAATGCATTCAATCGCATGAAGTCTAAATATATTATTTCGATAGGGTGAAATACAATGTGAAGTTTGGGGTATGTAAATGATCATCTGTTTTCATATCTTACGCTTTACAGAGTGCATGCAATTTTCTTAACCAAACAAACGAACGAAAAACATCAACAACAACACAAAACCGAAGAGAAAAACAATTTTTTTTAAAATACCAGAACAGACAGCCAGAAAGTAAATTTAAACAAATATAATTATAAACAAAACAGAAATCCAAGTGTTATTGGTAGACAAAAACCTGTTTTTAAAACTGAGGAAATGGTATTCAATGTCTCATTGTTTGAATATATGAAAAAGTAATTAAACTCTCCTCAACGATTTTCTACGCTACTCTATAGAAAAGAGGGATGTTAGAGTAATGCAAATGATGACAGTGATAAGACAGTGGGGTAGTTAAGACAGTGGGGTAGTTGACTACCCCACTGTCTTATCACTGTCATAATTTTCATTACTCTAACATCCCTCTAATCTCTCACGATGGAGGAAAGAGGAATCAGGTTCATATCTCATGACATGCACACACACAACAAACAACAATGTGTTGTGTAAGATGCCCGTATCACCGTCATTCTATATTTATGCGGGTAGTAGCTTGACCACACGCGATAAAATGGGCACCCACTACCGATTACTGTTGTCCGACTCCCTTCCCGCTTTTTCTCTGAAAGTTACCGCAAGAACTTTGACAATGGGTCGTAAAATGTGTAATGAAAGAAAATTGGATGGGTGGTAGACGATGGGTATAGTAGACGCCAAATTTATTGGGATAGGATTGGAGCTATTGTCACTGTGGTTCGTACGCGTGCCTCTTTCCATCCATACATCGCTTATATTGCAACAGCCCGGCAATAATCGCAATAGCAGCCTATATTCACTTTTCACCCACCCCTATATCAATCTTGCAACTTATAGCCGTCACTCATAACCACCACCACCACCACCACTACCACATTCACTATTTCCATCACCACCACCGCAGACTGTCACCACCACCACAACCCACTAAGTTTATAAGCATCACCTCCACCACCACCACCACCACCACCACCACCACCACCAACATCAATATCAAAATCAACACCACACCACTATTACCCCAACCACTATCCAAGAAAAAATCCCCAGCAATCCAACAACTAATATTATCATCGCAACCACCACCGCAACCTATACCCCCACCACTGTCACCCCCACCACAACCCACTAAGTTCATAAGCATCACCACCACCACCACCAACAACAACAACAACCACATCAACACCACCACCACTATTACTCCAACCACCATCCAAGAACAAATCCCCAGCAATCCAACAACTAATATTATTTTGCCCTCCACCACCAGTACTTTTTACGAACTAGAATACCACAATCAGCATGACCAATACACTACCACTACCACCATAACATAATATTATTTTCACCTTATTATTTGCATTTTACAACACCCACTCCAATATCCACCACAACCCAGGTTTCCAATACAAACCCTCGATGAAACTTGTTCAACGAGGATATTACAACAGGTGTAAAACTTTTACCCGTTCTGATTGGTCAACCCATTTGAGATTGCCACACATATAATGGGGTGATAAATGTAAAATAATCTATTTTTAAATCATCAAAACTTTGATAATTTTACTCTTAAAAATATTTTAGAAAGTGACAACATAAATTATATTATTATTTTTTTGTTTAATACTGGTAATCAAAAACAGATACCAACTTTTATATCTTATAACCTCAGTGCTACCCCTATTTTCTTAGTAATGGAATAGCCCAATAGATTAATACAAAATGTTAATCAGATAAACTGTATATTCTTAGATATAATGTCTTTTGTACGATTAAAAAATTTACAAACAAAAAACATAATTGGTTATTATATATTAAATAAAATTATTGTATATATTTTGTATACAACTTTTTTCTTATCTCGAGGTAAAATATTATTCTGTATCAAATTGGCAATAGAAATTGTGGATAGTTCGATTCGGCACGGTACACACACAGCTAGATACATACACCGGTTTAACCCAAAACTTACTTCGAGTGTGCATCTCAGCTGGAACAGTACAGCTGACAGAGGTTGTGAGTGCGGGGCATCCATGCCTGTATGAGTTGGATTGATTGAAACAGAATACGGAATACCGATAGTGCCGCAGCTCCGGCATAGTTGGATGTTAGCGCACCGTTGGTATCCATTTAGTGATTGGACCTGCCTCTATTTTTTCGGAATAAACATTAAAAATACATCTGGATATCATCACAGAAATCTGGTCAACATGGCACCAAGGTAAGGATGTTTGCTTTTGCATGAACTAGACGAAGTAGATGCGTGATTTCATGACTTTTATTTACAGAGCACGTTGAGTTATTGAATAATTACATTTTGATTCAGTCGGCATGGTCCATGATGAGTTGGTATCTTTGTCTTAGTGATGATGATCAATGATGTATGTGGTGGAAAACATGGAATACATACATTGTTACTTTTTATCAGTACATGTATATTGATTTACTTCACATTGACTTCAATTTTGAAAATGAAATTCATTGATCCTGTTGATGCCGGGATCGATGCTCATTAAAGTTTGACACAAAGTTTTGACATTAATTTTCTAATTTGCAAGTGCTACTACTAGCTCTTGATCTTCAGTTCTGCATTAACATAACAAAGAATGATATATCACAAGTCTGTGGCAATTTAAAAGTCCAATGAAGAGTAACTTATAGCTTTAAAATAAATCATTATCATTGTTATTGAGTAGATACAGACTAGTTTGCCTTTGTACCAGGCCCTACCATACCAAAATTAAAAATCATCTTTAAACAGAAATACAGTACTGGCAGGGCATGTGCCCCTACCCCTGTAAATATTACCATTTTTTTTTATGGAGATGATCTATCCCCATGCCATGGACCCCACCCCCACACCAATGCAATATGCCCCTACAATAAAACTAAGGCTTGTTATGGAATTTATTGCCAGTCTTTGCTTCTATCTGTTTAATGATATGTATGTACATCTGTAATATAGAATTTCAGGGGAAACACCTTTTATCAGTTAATGAAAAATCATATTTATTTCACTTTCTTTTTATTCAGGCACCATTTTGGGCCTTCCAGTGCCCTTCAATGTGGATTCATATTCATGTTTTGTATACTGAGTGCGATTCACCAAGCAAGCCCCCAAGGTTATGAAGGTAAGATTATAAACAATACAAGAACTTTGATTATCATCTTTGATTATCAATTTACAAACATTTATAGATCTTCAGGTTCCCAGCAGAATATTTGATGGATAGTGATCTGAAAAGTGGATGATAATGTGTGTGTAAAACTGTACATGCATCGATATAACAACATTTAATTCTCTATTCATGCTCAATTGAATCTTTGTGTAATGCAGACTCTTTGTTGAAGAGTTTGGTATGAATGACTTAGAATCTAGGTCGTTGTGTTCAAAGTTGATATATTTTTGTTATTAATCATGTGTTAGATACTGTAGAGGGTATGGCTTGAATGTGAAAGTCTGTCATGTAGAAATGATTGATATTTGTCAGTATGTCTAGAACTCTAGATACCTGTTGATAGTGGATTGTTATTTTGTGTAGACTGTAGAGGTTTGTATATTTTTAGTTCAATTTTGTGGATTTCTACTGAGCACAGCTCAGGTCAGGCAAAAGATTACCGGTATATTGCCTAAAAGAAATTCCCAAGTATTTTCTTTTTGTTTTTACAACCAGATTTGGTAATTCCCACTCATCTTGAATTCTTTATTAATTAAGACACATTGAAGTGTGGTGTCAAACTTTCTTGTATCCATATTGAAAGTGATTGAAGTGTGCATAAATCGTCATAGTTCTGTAAAAAACATATATGATGCCTGCCTGTTGTAGCAGTGCTTTAGCTTTCCTAATGTTGAATACCTGTACTACTCATAGAGAAATAGCTGCTGGTGAAATAACAAAATGTAGCACTCAGACAAAAACATTGTCTGCCAAGCATCACCTTTGTTGGTTGGACGCTAATGAGACGTAGGAGTAGCCCAGCCACCCATCAATGTTTTAGTTAGCATTCTTCACCTTGAAACATGCCAGAACGAGGGCCTGACCTCCGCGGAGCCATCGTAACAGACAAGAACCCAGCATGATTGGTCGTGAACATGAACATTAGTCTGACAAGGTGTCGCCCAACGTCATGACTAATTCTTTAGAGATTTGAGCAGGAGATTATGGATCTGGTATTAAATATGGGCCAGCAAGGATGCACGGTTTGTTTCTTGGCACCTGGGTTGCGAAAAAGGTGATGTCGTGCGGCGATGATGGAGGAAAAATGTCCGGCAAACGTAGACCTGTCTTAATAGATGACAGCACATGGATTTTAGATGCAATGTTGTACAGGATAAAGGATAGTCTTACTTCCATGGGAAACAAGTAAGTCCAGCCTTCTTGGCCATATACGGTAGTGATAGGATGAATTAGCTATACTGTCTCTTCTAAATCAGTCTGATGTTTGCCATAAATTGTCAAGGATGGATATTAGGGCTTTGCCTTTCTAAACTTTTCCCTCGATGTAGGAAAGATGAAATGGATTGATGCAGTTAACTCTACTTGGAAACTATGGTCTATTATATTATGAAGGCAAAAAAAAAGTCATGTCAAACAATTTGCTTTGAATTAGGCTAGGTGAAGGCATGGACACATAGAGTTGAAGGCAGCGGGCAAGATCTGCCACTAAACCAGCGGTGGCCAATTGTGGCCTCGTCTCAAGCTGGTTCGCCTAACGACTACCAAGTGCTAGGATGCTTCCTCCAAGCTATTTATTCATTACCCACATGCATAGTCTGCATTCACCCCAGTACAACATGCCCTCCTTATCATGTGTGTAAGATCGGCTTGTTATGTATGCCAGTATGTATTTGAACTTGAATGCTAGAATGTCTGCTATCTTTACATTATTCCCTCGTAGATATCTTTCAACATCCATGCCCCGTACAGAGCCCCTCGATAAGAAGTGAGTGCACTTTGAATGTAATTGTGAGATATTCTGATACATACATGTACTATTAAATCTAGTCTACTACTTAATTCTGTCATCTCCATAATTTTAGTATACAGGAACCACCCTCCCGGCAATAGGTTAAGTCAAAAGGTTATTTTCATGGTAAAATGTTTAAATAAGGGATTGTAAGTATTTCTCTTCTGCGTAATAAGGTTTCTTATTGTTATCTGACTAGCTTCACATGTAGAGGTGTTCGTGAATGATATGACAATGACAATGGATTACCCAGACTCATCTATAGCATTCCTTCACTGCTGGTGGTCTGGTCATCTCCAGTGCATCTATTTGAAAGCCTGTTTGCACAGTGTTTTGAAAGCGAAATGGCATCAATTAGCTCTTTGTTGAAGTACATGTAGGCCTACCGTATATATGAAATATGAGTTTGTTCTGGAAGTTTGTAAAATTGATATTTTTTTAAATAGTAAAATTATCAACCTTTTTTTTGTGTGTGAGGAGGTGGGGTTAATATCTTAAGCTAAGCCCATTCACCATGCTAACTGCGTTATAAGTTTATGATGATAATACCACAGAGAATTACAAAGAATGGAAGCTTGAAATTTCTGGATATGATGTAATAGGCCTGAATACATCCTTCTAAGCTGGGTTACTTGAGCATGACAGAAAAAATTGTTTTACTCTTTGATGCTGATGGATGGGCAGGTAGAGTAAGAAAGGTGCCTCGTGCTGTTCAGGACTGGTGTGTAAGTCACCACCGCCATTCACTGCCTCCTCTTTATGTATTTGACTTTTGAAGTATCCAAACTTAACTATTTAGTTTTTAAATGGATAAATGGTCTAGATGTTGTTATTCTATGGTGGCTCAGATGATCCCGCTTTCACAATTCACCAAGTACAAATGCCTCCAACAGAGATGAAAGGGGATTAGAATACTGTTATATTACATCATGAAGGTTTAAAACTTCAAATCAACTTTGTTGAACAATGGGCACAATGGTAACTGCTCTTGTGTCTACTAGACCACCTAGCCTAGCTGGTTCATCCTAATCCCAACACACTTGACAGTGAGACTGACCAAGAGCTTGCTTCGAAGACAATGAAAACCACTTCTAATGAGAGATAAGCTAGGATTGTATCACTTTAGCAGTGGTTTTATTTCCTTGAAGAGTAGGTGTGATGCAAAGATACTTGATCTTCATTGGTAATCCCATCAGTTACATGTATGTAGACACAGGCAATAATAGCCATTTATGTACAGGTGAAGTGGTCTCCAGTGTAATCTTATTCTTAAATAGAGTGTACCTGTTTGTCCTGTTCAGGATGCCAACTCCTTACCGCCAAGTGACCAAGGAGTTTGTGGCTTGTTCTTAACTTCTTACGCTGTTCATTTAAATTGTCTCCCTTGGAAGGTCTTTTGGACTTGGTGTAGACCATAGACCTAATTGTCCATGTATAGTCTAGACAGACCATAATTATGTCTGTGATGGCCCTTTGAACATGACTCTCCAGTGTAGTCTAAAACTCTAATAAAATGTCTAATCAGAGCTGTAAGGGCGTTAACGCATACCATTTAACAAAGTGTCGACAGCAAACACCGTTCTAGCTCTCAATATATGATATCGTCCACCTTTTACTTCTCAAAGAAAATTTCTGATGATATCCCCAAAAGTTCCAAATCCTCTTTAGTTTGGTTTTGAAATCAACCTTATCAGGGCTAGGAGAAAGATTCATGATCTACACCTGTCCGATGCCTGACCCTGCAAGAATCTGGTGCCAACAGGTCAAGTTTATTTTCATAGCCAAAGAATTCCAACCATTTTTGTGACACAGTAGCACAGGGAAATATGACAAAAGTATGGAAATGGCATGGGGAGCTTGGCTGTGAGATTATCAAAGGAACCTGTTCGTTTAATAGAGAACTTTAATAAAGTCTTGTAAATTTACACTAGATATAAACCAAAGTAATATGAGAGGCTATATTGTAGACATTTTTGAAGGGTCAAGTGTCAGGTTTGTTCTGTTTGAATAAATAGTTTGAAAACTCTCACTTTTTGGGTTTCAATCAAATTGATAAGAATGTTGCTGCCATCAATCAATTTTTGATAGCAAGAAATTGAGGAAAACAAGTCAATAAAAAATGGGATAAGGGCACTTATATTAATCATATGCCACTAATATTCTTGATTGTTTGAATATTTTTGTACAAATGGATTTAGTAAAGGCCATTTGTTGAAGGATTTGTTAAAAAGTAACTGGTATGTAACTAGTAATAAACTGATGAAAGTGCTGAAATTATTTCCAGGGAAGAGACAAATAGCCTTTTGTTTGTTAGATAAATAATGTATGAATTATTATAATACAATCATGATAAATTCTTCAGATGCTTAAGACAGTGGCATACATCAGAATTAAGATTAGGATTTTTTTCCTTTAAATATAACAGCTTTACAGTATTACACTTAGCTTTTGAAGATATTGAATGGCTGATTTAGTGAAGGACCTGTTTGTCTTTCTGATTGTGGTGTAGGTCACAATGAGGCTACTGCCTTGATTGAAGAAAAGCATTCCTCCCTGCCACTGCTCATACAACCTGGAGCCATTTCACAGCCTATTCAAATAAAAAAAACCTCCCAAACCTTTCTAAAATCCTCCATGATTTCCCTCAAAAGATGTATCCTCCCAGAAGTAGAGGAAATAGAAAGTGCAGGTGGTCATATTTGGATAATTTTCACCAACCAGAGCCCTTAAAGGCTTGGTAGGTAGCGACTTTCAGGGCGGTTCTAGAGGACGGAGGCATCGGTTGCGTGATGCTGACGGCAAGGGGCTTTGGAAGAAGTGAAGACAGACCCCTTTTCACCTGAATTGTGAATTGATGGAGGCAAGCAGACTTGGTACTGATCTCTGCTTAACCCTGAAGGCACTTTATATACAGAAAGTATGGGTCTTTGTTGCACTCCTCTCTCCCTGTCCCACCCCTCCTTCTCTCTCTCTGTCTCGCTCTCTGAATGAAAACAACACACCTAGACATTTACTGGTAGGACCTAGATGTATCTTTTTACATCCTTCCTTCCTATATTTGTTTAAACACACAGTTTCCTGTTCTGTGGCGAGACATTAAGAATCCGTCTCATGTTTTTTACAACTTCTGTAAACACAATATCATATGATACAGACACATCAACTTCCCTGGGCCAATGTTATTGAAAACTGTGCCCATTTCTGCAATTTGAACTCTGTAATTAAAAAATGGATTTCTAGTATGAAAAGAGCCGGACTTATCGGGAACAACAGTTGTACATCAAATGAAGATAATGAGGGATATTAATAATTTCATTAGATTTGTGAAGTTTCAATTGGCACTTTTCAATTTTCTGTGCTTGAAAAATAGAACTCAGGTACTGGACTTGGCAGAAGTTTGGTTTGCATAATACCTTTTTTTCTTTCTTGAATTGATAAAAGACTCTTTCATCCATTTGAGTAAAAAAAAAGTTGAATGTATTCAAACTAGTTGCAAAGTGTAAACCCGACTCATCCCGACAAGATGCCCTGAATGTTACTATCTTCTGAGGACACAAAGAGCTTGCTCACATCATTTTGCTAAGAGTTCAGAGCATTCTGGCTCTAGTCTAAGCTGAAGAATTGCATGTTTACCTTCTCCAGAACAGTTTGACAAGGAATCTATAAATTTTTTTTTGAATATCAGACTGGAAGGTCAATATTTGGATTAATTCTAGGGCATAAACGCACGCTTGAAAACAGTATTAAATGGACATTTAATTCTCCTTTATGAAAAGAGAGAATTCCAAAGTTCGAGCATTGTGTCAATAATGTCCTTTTGTTGAAAAAAACATGATTATTATGATATCAAGTTCAGCTTCATGCCCCATGTCTGGGCTGAGAAGGATAATAATAATGGGAAGATGGGATAAAATGCAGACACTTGGCGGGGATGGCTTAAGTCAATATTTAGCCAGGGTTTCATGCAATGAATATGTACTGTTAGAATATGAAGAAAAATGATATGGGGAAGATATGTATTTCTTCCTAGTATGTTAAGGGCAAGCTTGTGAATACATTTTTTGTGGGTTTAAATTGATATGTTACAAGTATTTCCTTTCTTTTCAACTGTTTTCCCCTTTGAATGTGCTTCTATTACACAATAATAATATTTCAGGCAGCATTCCATCATGTTCATCCAATATTTTGGAATAGATTTCATCCAATTATTATCCGCAAAGAAGACTTAGACCCCGTTCTCATTTACTTCGTTGGAGCGGTCTAACTAAGACCCGTTCCTCAGGAACAGTTCTTAGGTGAGTGTGAACGGTCAAAGTGGTCCAGGAAGTGGACTTCTGGACCGCTCCAGAAGACCATCTCGGGAGGTGGTCTTGAGGAACGGGTCTTATTAAGAGCGGTTTGGGCCGCTCTAACGTGCAATGTGAACGGAAGCGTACTTTGACTGGAAGTGAGCTAGTGACGTTCCGTGCAAAACATGTAGTACGGTACATACGGTTTGTATTCCGCGCGCGAAAAAATTGACCTGCTGACCTGAGCTGCCATAGCAACAAGACCACTTTGACTCGTGGAGCGGTTTGAGCCATAAAAAACTGCTCGGAGTGTGAACGCTCGCAAACCGTTCTTCAAGACCCGTTCCTCTGGAG